GGGAAAGATGAGCTACATCAACATATTAAGCTTATGACTAGAATGATGCATCGGGAAAGATGAGTTACATCAACATCTTAAGCTTATGACTAGAATGACCACACTTAAATTAAATTTTCAATTTATGCTGTGAAAAGTCACCTGCATCCATTTAGGCTATAAACAGCTAATCTTGGCAACAAAAGTTAGAACAGTAAGCCGTTTGAGGCTCCAAAAATTAAAATCTCCCATCCCGCACATAAAAGTTTAGTAAACAACCCATTTATAAAAGGTTGTCCTCCACACATTGCAGCGTATCCAGGTCAAACGCATCCCAACTAACAAGAGTACGATTTCACTGACACTGGACCTCAACTTTCAAAAGTACATGCACATTAGGGTAGTGACTAGCTATATGGAATTCAATGATGTTCAAAAACCTGAGGAGAACCCCCAACAAGAAATCAGTAGCCAGAAAAAATATTAGGAAAAATATGGATTCCTACCTTTTCCAGGGCCAAGGCAAGCTTTGAAAGATTGGGATAAATGGTTCTTGCTGCCAACAAAATCTGCTAAGAATCAGATCTTTAGAAGGCAGTTTAGAATAATAATCAACTTTTACAGTGGAATCAGATTAGGATTCAGAAATTAACATAGGACCTCAGATAACTTAGCAGCTATAGTGAAAGCTGATATTCAAAGTGAAAAGTTCAGGTCAAACACAAAACTTGCCAACCTACTTGTACAATAATTATAAAAATTGACTGAGAAAATCTTTTATTAGGCTGAACAACAGCAACCTACCATCAACAGTTATATTATTGCCTGTACCAAAAAGAATGTTGCTTGCTGAGGGCCTTCTAGTTACACTATATCGGCTAGGAAGAAAGTGTCTCCAATTGCTTTGAAACCAATATAAAACTTCTCCTTATTTCAAATTATCAAGTAATATTCACAACATGGAGAGAGGACTGATTGATTAGCACTTATAATCCTGCTGTCTCAACAGTCGATGACATCCACATATAAGCACTGTATTTTGCTAGAGTACAGACAAAATAGTACTTTCAGAACTTCCACAAAAAAATTTCAGGAAGAAGAAGCACAAAAAACATAGCAAAGCATGGCCAACTTTGATAGCAACACGGTAGAAATCTCACCAACAGAGAAATGTAAGAACAACAACAGATAAAAGGGTGGCAGAAGATGTATAAGAAGACATAATTTTGATATGAAGCAAAAACTATTACCTCGCAAACCCTCTGTAGTGTAAATGGAGGGCCCTCAACAAAGCTCTGAAGAGCTGCAAAACAGTATATTATCATGACATGAATACATGCTTCAAACGGAAAGCATCACTCCAACATGATTTATGCCATCCGCTTAAGCTCAAGTTTACCATTTAAAAGTCTCCATTCTCTACCCACAAGAAAAATCAAGAACTAGAGAAATCAGATCCTAGAGGAGTGCAACGAATCAAATATCCTATATACTTTCAACAATACAAGTTCACAAAAAAGTAAGTGTTTTTTGCCCCACAAGAGTTACTTATGTTATGAAGAATATGTGCTTATGTTGGGTATTTTATAAAAGTTAGAACTGGCAAGAACCTAAGCAAGAAAGAAGCAAAAAGAAAAAAGGCATATGACTGTGGAAATACCATCATCCAACCTTTTCACCAACTCAAGGAAGGTCTCTCCCATTGAAGAAATTTGTTGCTCACTACTTAATTTTGCCTCTGGGTATTGAGATAGGACCTTCACAACAAATGCAAAAAACTTATCACAAATATTCTCTGGAGTGGAAAGGATGAGAAAAGCAAGAATAAAACCTAATAGCAAATCATTTCTAGCAACTTCCACACCTTAACAGCCAGGCTTACGTGCCCATACCTGCTTGAGATAGAAGGACAGCATACCCTTCAATTTGTCCCATTCATGCCTGCAATAGAAATATGTCCAGATGAGATGCAGCAGCTCAGTTCCCTTGGAACAAATTGAAATAGTCAATACACCATTATATGAATTAACTTGCAAAAACCAAGAAAAAAGTTTTGGATTCATTAGAATCCAAAGCTAGTAGCTAAAATGACAGCCAATATTGGCACTTAAGTAGAGGCATTCTAGTAGCAATTGCCCCAAATGTGTTGGTGGCTTGCTGATTCTACGGTTATTTTAGACATAATATGATCCTAGTAGTTAGCTCCATCTTTCCAAAGGCAATGGCTTAGATTTGTTAGTAGTATAAAAAGTTTGGCTAAGATATAAGGCACTTGGCATAAGATATAAAAAGTTTGGCTAGAACAACAGATGCTGAAACAGTGAAAGAATGTGGCCAATCATAGCCCAAACACAGTTTCTGGCAAATGGTAATCTTGCAGCATCGGTGTTAATAGAATTGTACATCGAGAGTGACATGGTCTTATACTGCATCTTCCACAAAAAATCAGACTAGATCAGACTGGAACACGGTACTGTTTCCGTAATACAAGAACAGCATAACACTTGGAAAAGGTCAAAGCTCTTGCTAGTGATGTTTATGCATAATAAGATGATTTTCTATAATCATGTGATCATAATTAGTATATATTTCCAAGAGCAGACATCATGAGATAGACTAGATCAACAAAATTGAGTTATGCATTCGGCAGAGTAATACAATCAAAGAAATGGTATTCAATTGGTCTGAGGATATACAAATGGAACAGAATCAATAAGCACAAAACAGACTAACTAAGCATACTGTTTAGCCTAATGTTCAGTTTTCCTATGCCTTCATTGGAGCTCAGATGTTCACAGACCAAGAGGTTAGTCCACCTCCTTTTTTTTTTTTTAATAATAACACAAACAACTGTGAGCAGCCCTAATAGTTTGCATAAAGTCATCCATACATAACAAGAAATAAAGAAAAGACAAATCAGTGTTCCATCACAAGGAATGGCAAGCTTAATGAATATATTGACTCCTCTCAAGCCACAAAATTACTAATCTTAAAAGGCAAAACAGCTAAGCATTAAGAAGAACTCTTTAAGATCATCGAGTACAACCACAAAATGGGACAAGAAAAGTCCATACCAAAACTTCCCAGTGGCGGCAATTACTTCGAGAATGTGTCTTACTTGTTCTTCTGAAAACTCGTGCTGGGGCTTGATGCTATTAGATCAACAAAAGAGGAGAATGCTCACATGAAAATGGGGAAATACAAAAAAAAAGTATAGGGAAGATCAGAAATTTCAGTTGGACTTTTGTAACATTATTAAATATTAAGAAACAAGGAACTGGAAGCCCTTGCTATGAAGATGACGCTCACAAGCGTGATCGATTACAGCAGAAAAGAAAATGAAAAAAAAAAAAAAAGTAGGCTTCCCTGCCACCGTGAACGAAGCATGTTTTTCCACAGATTGTTTCAGACTGAATACCTCAAAGCGGCCCCAGAAGGTGGCCCCTATTGGTATCTTCAGTCTCCAAATTCCAATAGATACAAAGCATAACTTATGGAATCCAGCAATAAAATTTGCAATAGCAAGAAACATGATTTATACCCGTGATTTGGGAGATGAGAAACGGAAGTGTCGTGGTTCTGGTCTACTGCAAGATTTGAATTCTGGGAAGTTTCACTTGCTTCTGCTGTTGCCTCCGCCATTGTGGATCTGGGGGCTTCCAAGAAGATGACCAAGTATGAAATTCTACCAAGTACCAACCCGCCGATGGCACTATTTAAAACAAAAAAAAAAAGGTAGAGGACATTGCTGACATTAAATGAAATTATGTAATTAGCATTCACAAACATTAAAAAAAGTATCACGATTGAGATAGTAGTATCACCTGAGAAAGCAAAGTAAGCGAGGAGGGAGGGGGATCAGATAGTGGCGACGGAGAAGAGTCCTCCCCACCCACCCCCACCACTTTTGACTAATTAATTTTAGTGAGTGTTATCCCTCCCTGCAATTGGGATGTTCTACACGCTTTCGAATGGAGTGACCTTCCTTCTCTTTCTACCAAATATAAGAAGCAAATACTCTCTCATCCGACTTTGATAGTCAGCCTCGTTTCCTTTTTCATCTGTCCAAGTTATTTTCCACCTTCTAATAATTAATTAAAGAAGAATAGTAAAGTCATCGTTTCCAACGGTAATTAATTTGATATATGTCTTGAATGAATGGTGTAATATATCATCATTATTATCGTTATTTTTTTTTTTTTTTTGTCAAAAGTCATTCATTTATATCATCAAAATCTTTGATACATACAAAGACATGTACATACTAGCTGGCAACTGCCAGATAATCAGTTTGTGCAGCCGTAGAGGTCCACACAGGGAAGCTATTCTTCCACCTAGTTTCGTTGATAAGGTTAGTGGCGAATTTCACCAAACCATGACTACATGTGTTGATTTCTCGCTTAACAAAGGAGAAAGTACAACGCCAAAAGGAGCTACTTAATGTCCTGATATCTCTCAGGATAATGTTGATGTCAGATAGGTCTTCACTCCAGTGGTTTAATTTGTCAACCAGAACTTTGCAGTCAGAAAGTAGCAAGATGGACGTCCAATTTTCCTTCAATGCTTTGAGCAAGGCAGTTCTGATAGCATGAGCTTCCAAGGTTGCAGCCTCTCCTTTTAAAGAGGTTGGGATTGACCATGTAGAGATTAGATTGCCCTTATTGTCTCTAGCTGCTATGCCAATACCAAACTTGTCTCTTCGTTGGTCCACTGCTGCATCTGTGTAAATGATAGTCGAGTGCTGCTGTTGGAGTTCCGCAGTCTTATCATGACTATTCAACACAGAAGTGTTTTCTGGTTTGTCACAAGTGTTTAGGAGGTTTGCCTCTTTAAACTCAAACCAATCCGCCATGGCATATTGGGAGATCCGGTAACCTTCCTGGTTGATCAAGTTAAAGTTCCAATTATTTCTTGCCTTCCAGATATGCCAGAGTAGGTTGGTTGTCATTTCAATGTGAGCTTTGCCATCTGCCCTTTCTCTAGCCTGTTGTAAGCTCTCCCACCATGACCAAAAGCTTCCTTTCAAATGTTCCAGACCATCCCATTGGATAGGGAAGGTCTTCCAAATCTGCTCACTTGTCCTGCAAAAGAAGAGGAGGTGTTCTAATGTTTCTGCACTTTCCCCACATCTCCTGCACCAAGGTTCTCCTTTTCCTGTTCTTTTGAAAATATTGTCGTGGGTGGGAAGGATGTCATGTAGACATTTCCACAGGAAGTGTTTAACCTTGTGCTTAATATTGAGGTCCCAAACCTGATGCCAAATTCTGGAATTCTGCTTATTCTTACTAGTGCTTTCCTGTTGCAGCAGTCTTTTGTTGTTTCTTTCCATTCTTTCCTTGGCTTTGACATAACCAGTTTTGGTAGTGTATTCACCATTTGCACTGCTGCACCAAGTGTATCTGTCCTTCCCGCCAAATAAGCTAATTGGGATTGCTGTGATTAGTTTGGTCTCTTCAGCAGAGAACAGGGAGTTTATAATGTCAAAATTCCACTTGTGGTCATGAATCAACTCTGAGACTTTGTCATTTGGACAATTATGTGGCTTAGGTGTGGAGACTTTACCTGAGCTGTTTTTGAGCCATCTGTCCTTCCAAATTGCAATAGTGTTGCCATCTCCAACCTGCTTCCTTAATCCACTTTCCAGCATCCCAATTGAACTATGCAGACTTTGCCAGATCCACGAAGCTCCATTTTTTGCGTGTGCATCAAGAATAGATGAATTGGGAAAATACCTTCCTTTTACCACTTTACTAACCAACAAGTTTGGATTGGTAAGCATTCTCCAAACTTGTTTGGCTAGTAAGGCGGTGTTGAAGCATTGAATGTCCCGGAACCCAAGTCCTCCTTTCCCTTTGACATCAGAAATATCAGCCCATTTCTTCCAATGCATTTTCTTTTCTGTAGAATCACTTCCCCACCAGAATTTAGCCATCATCCCGCATAGCTCTTTACACAGTCCAGCGGATAGTTTGAAAACTGACATTGCATATGAAGGGAGAGCAAGAGCCACAGATTTGAGTAATACCTCTTTGCCCGCAGAACTCAGCATGTTGCCTTTCCAACTTTGCAGCTTTTTGCACATCCTGTCTTTAATGAACCTGAAGACACTATTCTTTGATCTACCAATCACCATGGGCAAGCCCAGGTATTTGCTTTGATTGACAAGTTGGATGTTGCCAAGTGGTCTCAAGGCAGCTTCTGTTCCTGCTTGTGAAATATTTTTGCTAAGGAACACTGATGATTTCTCAATATTTATTTGTTGTCCCGAGGCCCATTCATAGCGCTTGAGAATTCGCATGATCTCTGTAGCTTCGCCATTGTTAGCTTTGCAAAACATAAGAGAGTCGTCAGCAAAAAAAAGATGAGAAATTGTAGGACCTTGTCTGGAGATTTTGATCCCAGAAATTCTTTTATCCTCAGTGGCTTGCTTAAGAAGACGAGAAAGGGCTTCAGCACAAAAAAGGAAAAGATAGGGAGACAGAGGATCTCCCTGTCTAATTCCCCTAGTGGGACATACATAGCCTTGTTTTTCCCCATTAATGTTAAAACTGAAAGACATGGATGACAAGCAACCGTGAATCCATTTAATCCACCTTGGGCAGAAGCCCATTTTACCCATGACAGCAAACAAAAACTTCCACTCAACCCTATCGTACGCTTTGGACATGTCAATCTTAAGAGCCATATACGCATCCTTACCTCCCCTCTTATTGTTGAGCCAGTGAATGTACTCATGTGCAATAATGATATTGTCTATAATTTGTCTGCCTGGGACAAAGGCAGCCTGAGAATGACTAATACAACCACCTAACAAGGGCTTAAGTCTATTAGCCAGAATTTTAGCAATGATTTTGTAGACAACATTACAAAGGCTAATGGACCTGTAGTGGGAAAGATTGACAGGAGTATCAATTTTGGGGATGAGGGTGATTAAGGTCTCATTAAAGGCTTTCAACATGTGGCCAGTACTGAAAAAGTGTTGAATTGCCTCCACTAAATCAATACGAATAATAGACCAAAATCTTTGAAAAAAGATGGGGGACATACCATCGGGTCCTGGTGCCTTGTTAGGATGCATGGAAAAAAGTGCTGCTTTGACTTCCTTTTCTGTGACAGGTTTGGTAAGCTGCAAGTTCATCGCAGTTGTAATTGTCCTGGGGATGCCCTTCAGAATTTCCTCAAAGTCATTAGGCTGTGAGCATGTGAACAGCTTGCGGTAGTACGCAGCCACTTCCTCCCCAATTTCTGCATCATTTTCACACCATCCACCTTGAGCTTTTTGAATTTTAGATATTCTATTCTTTTTTCTCCTGGTGGCCACACAAGCATGAAAATAAGCTGAATTCTGATCCCCTTCCTTCAGCCACTTGATTCTTGATTTTTGGTGCCAGAATTGTTCCTCTTTTTTATAGGCATCAATAAGCAGCTTCTTTAGTTCATTAGCCATAGTTGACTTATTGCCTCCATTGGCTAATTGGGCTTTCTCTAACTCTTCCAACTCTTCCTTCAATTTCTTGATCTCTTTTTTACTATTGCTATTAATCCCCCTGTTCCATCTGGTGAGAGCAGTTCTACATTCTTTCACCTTCTTAGCTACCTTAAAGCCTCTGGAACCCTCTATCTGCTTATTCCAAGCATTTCTCACTATTCCTTCCACCTCAAAATACTGGAGCCATCTAGCATCAAAATGAAACCTCCTTCTTGCCTTTTTGGGTTCAGGATTTGAGTCTAAGAGCACCATACTATGATCAGAAGCTTGGTTCTCTAAATGCATTACCTTAGCTGACGGAAATGTAGTGACCCATGCAACACTTCCCAACGCTCTATCCAGTCTTTCCTTGACTAATCTTGCATTGTCCCATGAATTACTCCATGTCCAAGGAAGACCTTCATATCCCAGATCAACATACTCATTGGTGTTGATAAACCCCCTAAAGTCCTTAAAGGACCAACTGCTCCTAATCCTACCTCCCCACTTTTCATCGTTAGAAACGATATCATTGAAGTCACCAATAATGACTACATTCTTTCCCCATATCTGCCTTCTATGATTCAAAAATTCCCACTGCGCTCTCCTTACCTGGTCATCTGTGCTTGCATACAAACATACACACCACCATGCATCATACTCATTACTAGTAGGTATCTTAAATTCAATGGTGATATGAGTGAACAAAATTTTTTCTATCTTCAATTCATTTTTCCACATAATAGCTAGCCCTCCTGCTCTTCCATTCGGATTCACAAAAAACAACTTGTCATATCTAAGTTTTTTTTTGAATTTTTCCATAAAACTGTTTTTATTCTTAGTTTCACAAAGATAAACTAAATCAGGGGAGTGAAGGCCAATTACCTCCTTCAGATAGGGAATAACCAAGGGGCTCCCTGCACCTTGGCAATTCCACGCCAATACTCTCATATGGTACTTGGAGACCATTTGAGGTTGGCCTCCTCCACCTTCGAGTCTTGGTTCTCTGGGGTGTCTTCTGATGTTCTGCACTTTTTCCCAAGTTGCTCATCCTCCAAACTATAATCTCCATCCTCATCTCTGAGAGCAAATTTCCTCTTGCTTGTTTCCCCTGATGTTTCATTGTTAACCATCTTAGGGGGGGTTCTGTTTTGCAGGTTTTTGCTCCCTCTTCTGGTGCATTTGATTTCTGTTCTGGTTTTGATTTTCTTAGGGCCAGTAGGGGAAGTCCCTGGATGTACCTGGAGGTTAGCTTTTGGTCCTTCCTGCATTAACTGGGTTTGAGTTAAACTATCCTTGAGCTTCGTCATTATACTTTGACTTGGCCCCTCACTTATGTCCATACATTCCACCTCAGTGTGCTCCTCAGTCATTTGGCCCATCATTATTATCGTTATTGTTGTTGTAATTAGTGTAAAGGTAGATTGATTAGTGATACTTTTAATATTAATATGAAGATAATTTAGAAAGTGTAAAGGTATAACAATTAGAGATGCTTCTAATAATATTAATATGAAGATAATTTAGAAAAAGGTTTTTTAAATGGGTACTGATTCGAGACTCATTAATATATCTAAAATTTACGTAACCTACCATGTACTATGTACATACACTAATAACTATTACTCTCTCTTGCATTTATATACTTTTTCTATTCAATCTTACCTATCTTCTCTTGTATTTATTTACTTTATGTAATTAATATTACTTGTTAAAATATATCCTAATGAGTAATTATTAGACATCCATTAAACAAACCTTTTTAGAAAAATATTAGGTTAGAATTACTTGTTTTTAACAAAATTAACTAATTTTTCTTAAACTGTGTCAAAAAAAAATCAAAATTATCAAAATGAAATAGATGGAGTATGAAATAGTGAAGTTACCAAATTGTCTAGAGGCATGCCCATTTGGAATTGTTATTTTTTGGGTGTTTTTCAAAACATTTAATGTAGTAATGTATACGGAAAACTCTTGTCGTAGATAATTAAGTGTTTTTGAGTGATGTATTTTGGGATATTTTTCATATTTAAAGTTTTAATGATGCTTTTCTAATATTTAAAAAAAAAATCACCACCACCACCTACCACCACCGCCCCTCCCTTCCTCCACCTCCACTGCTGGCTTCCTCCTCTTTGTGGTGGCCAATGCTAGTTGATGGTTGGTGGTGGTGTATGAAAAAAAAAGAGTGAGAATTTATTTTATTTTTTTTTTATCTTAGTGTATTTAAATGTGTTTTTTTTAAGTTATTTTTTGGAGAACCTGTAGGCTCTAAATACAAAAACAAGTATTTTAAAAATAATGGAATCCAAACCGAGTGCTTTTAAAAAACTTTACTTTAGCAGTATATGTGAAAATTTTTTATTTTATATAATTCGTTTGGATTCTCTGTTTTTTAAGTTGTATTTAGCTATTTTTTTATAAATTTGTTAAAATTTTTCTATCACCCACCGCCACTCACCACTGGCCACCACCACTTTCTCCTCTCTCTTTTTTTTTTTTTTGGTCCTCTTCTCTCCCTATCTTCTCATTCTTCTCTTCTCTTCTCGTCTCTTTCATCCTCCTTCTCCTCGAAATGTGGTCGCACTTGAGTGGGAGAAGGAGGATAGAGAGAAAGAAATGATAGAACGGCAGCAGTGGATAGTGGCTACCAATAGTGTGTAGAAAAAGGACGAAACTTAGAGTTTAATTTATTTTTTTAAATGTATTTGAAATTGTATGCTTTTTTACTTGTTTTGGAATTGTTGTTGGAATTTATTACTATAGATTTTACAAATAAAAACAGTTTTTTTTTTATAAAAAAAAATAGGACGTCTAAATAGAACCTAAAGCTTTGAGTGCATCGTGAATTTGGTAATATTTGGTATTATACACATTTTTCTTCTTTCAAAGTAGAAGATAAATGTGAAAATAGGAGCTTCAAAGTCTAAAGTTTAGAATGCATCATATATTTGGTAATATTTGATATTACACACATTTTCTTCTTTCAAAATTAGAAAATAAGCGTGAAAATAGGAACTCTACACAAGCGTGAACAAACTAATCAATATGGTTAACTTTGCAATAATTTTCAATTATTATATTATCTTAATAGTAAATTTAATTCTTTTTTTTTTGTATGGGACAATAAACCAATAAACAAGAATAATAATTATGTATGAATGCATGGAAATCATAATGTAAATTGTCAATGTAACTCAATAATGTTTTAATCCATATAAAAATTTAAATTTTGTCGCAGATAAACAAAAAACAATAATGGCTTCAAATTTAACCAAAGTTTATTAGGTATTTTTGGGGATTATGTATTTGAAGTTTTTG